CACACACGCACGCACGCACGCACACACACACACGCACGCGCACACACACGCACGCACGCACGCACGCACACACACGCACGCACGCACGCACACACACACACACACGCAGAGAGAAAGAGAAGAGAGAGAGAGAGAGAGAGAGAGCGCGCGAGAGAGAAACGAGATACACACATAGAGCTTCCCTCTGACTCGCGTCTCTCCACCACCTGGTCGGAAATCACACTCCGACAATACTCACCTCCCCTCGCGTGTCCGCATCGTCTGCGGGCGCGCGCTTAACCCTTTTATCTCGCCGCCTGATTACGTTACCTGCGGCAGGTACATGATGACGAACCTGCACCCGGAGAATTGCCTCGGCGTGCGAGCGTTCGCCGAGCGGCATCAGCATTACGAGCTGATCAGAGCTGCCGATCAATACACGATCGATTTCTTCCCTGACGTCACGAAGAGCGTCGAGTTCACGAATGTCACAGGTGAGGATAATGATTGGATAAGAGAGGGTTAGTATAGTATACACGACTCCTCCTTGATCTTGATCTCGCACGCGCGCACTCTCTGTGTCATTATCTGTGTCTCTATGTCTCTCCCTCTCTCCCTCTCTCTCTCTCTCTCGCACGCTCTCTCTTTCTCTCTCTCTTTCTCCCTCTTAGTGTCTCTGTCTTCGTCTCCCTCCCATCTCTCTCTCTCTCTCTCTCTCTCTCTCTCTCTCTCTCTCCTCTCCATTCTCTCTCTCTCTCTCTCTCTCTCTCTCTCTCTCTCTCTCACCCCTCTCTATCCTGTTTTCTCTTCCTCCCCCTTCTATCATTCTCTCGCTCTCGCTCTCGCTCTCGCTCTCGCGCTTTCTCTCTGTGTCTTTCTCTTCCTCTCCCATCTTCCCAATCTCCTTGTCCCTACGAGATCCACATATATCGGTGGTGACCGCTCGCGCACTCACTGCTGCTCTACCCTAGGCGCACACCTACTCCAGATCATCGCATCAGACGAACTAAACATCGTGACGGAATCCGTAGTCTACGAAGCCGTCATGAAGTGGATAAACTTCGATCTCAAAGCGCGGAAGGACTTCCTACCTGTTCTTATGGCGAAGGTAACGAGGCGGTCGATACATCGATAAACATTAATCATTCTCGTATCAATACGATAAAGATCTTTCATATCAATACGATGAAGATCAATACGAAAAGAAATCAGATCAATGCGATAAAGATAGACTCAAAGAACTTAATCATTCTCATATCAATACCGTTCCACAATCATAAATCATTGCAATAAAAACAGTACCAAATTGCCGACAGAATTAAAATCAAACAAAGCTTATCCTATTTTTTAAAACAAACGCTGTACGCTTTAGAAAAAGAAACACAATTTTAAAAAAATTACCATGAATTAATGCGAAATACTTTCCACAGTTCACGAGCTCACGGCTGCTCGTGACTCGCTTATATATATATAATATATATATATATGCGTAGGTTCGTTTACCGCTGATCCCTGCTGGTTACCTGGTAAACAACGTCGCCGAGGACGAGTTACTGAAGAGCTGTCTGACATGCCGAGACTTCGTCGACGAGGCCAAGTACTTCCACATGTCACTAACGGGTCTCGTCTCCACGCCTCGCCGCTCCGAGCGCACCACTTGCCGGAAGAGCTTTGCCGGTAAGCCGGGGGTCCTGTTGCATCGGCGAGACGGCCGTTACGGGAGGCGCGTGAGAGCCAATCTCCAAGCCGAGATGTTGACGTCATTGGGTGTAAATTAGTAAAAAACAAACAACTAAATCAATAGGTAAATAAATAAATAAATAATGACGTCTGTCATATTTCAATAACCACATGTATAGGTCAATCGGAGGAGCGGTCCGTTAATGTACATGTAACGTAATGTAATGTAATGTAATGTACATGTACATGTACATGTAATGTAATGTACATGTACATGTAACGTACATGTACATGTAATGTATGTATGTGTACGTGTACGTACATGTGATCACCTACAGGCACGATTTTCGTCGTTGGCGGCCGAGGCGCGTCCGTCGAGCCGCTACGCTCCGTCGAGTGTTACGACCTGCGCCGCGACAAGTGGGTGAATGTTCCCGACATCGGCTCCAGGCGGCGCCACGTGGGCATCGCGGCAGCCATGGGTAATTACGTCATGCGCTGTGATAATCCGATCGTTTACGTAGATTTCTGATCTTCAGACATCTATGTTCATAGATATTTATATTACATCTGTATATTATCAAATATAATAACATATCCATACATACTGTAACATACATGGGTTACAGAATTTCTATGCTCTTCCGTCATACAATATACATATATATATATACATATATACACTGTGTACCAGTATATATTTACGCCCTTTGTAGAATTCTGATATGAACACATGCGCGCGGTGCAGAAGTGGGCCGGATAATTCACCTCTTTTTAATTGTTTGAGGTAGACTAACGAAGCAATGAGACGCTCTTGTGTGTATTTCAGGTAAAATCTACGCTATCGGGGGACATAACGGACGGGAGCACCTGAACAGCGCTGAGGTGCTCGACCCGCGGTCAGGAAAATGGATGAAGCTGTCACCGATGGCGAGTAGGAGGCAAGCGCACATGTGATCTACTGCTGCTCAGAATGGACCTGTGGTTGTTTCTTCTGCTCGCGCGCACCGATACAACGAACTTCTCCCAGAACACGCACGCAGGCACGCAAACACACGAATATGCACGCGCGCGCAAGCACGCACGCACGCGCGCACACACATACACACACACACACACACACACACACACAC